ATGTGTAACCCCAGCACTGGGGAAATACAGACAGGAAGATCCTAGGGACTTGCTGGCCAGCCAGGCTAGCTACACGTTCACAGAGAGACCCTGCAAAGCCCCTTACCAAGGTTATATGAGCAGTAACGAAGACTCTCTGAGCTAAGCCATGCAGGGATCTCAGGGGTCTCATGCAGCTTTCAGGAGTTGTAACCCATACTGGGGTAAGCTTTTCTTTTCTTTCTTTTTTTAAACTCATTTTGGACTGCGCGTGTGTCTGTGCACCATATTCGTGCAGTGCCTGAGAATGCCAGAGGACCCTAGAGAACTGGAGTTGGATTATTGTCAGCCTCTGTGAGTTCTGGGAATCAAACCAGGGTCCTCTAAAAGAGCAGCCAGTGTTCTTAACCACTGAGCCATCTCTCCAGCCCCTGGAGTAGGCTTTTCAATGATGCCACTGCCTTTGATTCACCAAGGTGTCTATAAGTAACCCCTCATCTATGCACCAGTAAGTAATGACAAAAATATAGTTTGTTCAACAAGATATGCTGGGATAGGAACATTTCTGTGGTCTGTCCCCGGTGCCCTCACTGGGGCAAATAGAGACTTTTCACATCTCCCAGAAAAAGTCACGTAACATAAATCTTCTCACCCACTCTTCAGAAGCTGTGTCTGGCTATTCCTTTCAAGAAAGAACTACCAGTTAAAATTCTAGAGAATTTAGCTAATCCCACATTTGGGAATCTGACCTACAGAAATGGACGTCTATTTGTAAGGCTCCAAGTTCCAGGACGTTTTTAAGAAGAAACACTAAAAACATTCTGAACACCCTTGAATGAGGATGAGGACATGCTGAACGATTACAGTATGTCTAGACTATAGAATGTAGTATATATAGAATGTATACTATAGAACACTATACTGTGCAAGCTCTCCCATAATTTTTTATTGTGGTAAGATACACATAAAGTTTACCGCCATAATCTGCCATGGTTTGCATATAAAATGCTCCCCGCACTGATGTGCCTAACAACATGCCCATTGCAATGCTTAGAGATGGACTCTGGGAAGTGATTGGATCCTGGGGACCTGGCCTTATCAATGGATTCATAATCTAATTGCTGGGACATGGTAGAAAGCAGGAGGCGGACATAGTCAGAAGACGTGGGTCATGGGGGTGTGCCCTACAAGGCCGCAGTCTACCGTCTCTCTCCTTGATGGCTGCCATCAGGTGCACAGCTTCCCTCTGCCATCCCTCCCACCATAATGCTTTGCCTTGCCACAAGCCTAAAGACAATGGAGCCAGCTGCCTTTGGGCCACAATGTGAAACCATGGCTCGACACAAATCTTCCCCTTTAAGTTGACTTTCTCTTACATTTTGTGACAGTAACGAAAGGGGACTGGCGACCATTTCCAGTGCACAGCTCAACAACGTGCAGCCTATTTGCACAAATTTTGTGTGTGTCTTACTAATTTTGAGGAAAATCTGCAGGGGGGCCATCTCTCACTGATCATCCCCGGAATGTCCGGTCTAAACAGCTCAAAGTCAGCCAGGCGGTGGTGGCACACACCTTTAATCCCAGCACTTGGGAGACAGAGGCAGTTCAATCTCTGAGTTCAAGGCCAGCATGAGTGAGTTCCAGGGCAGCCAGGGTTACACAGAGGAACCCTGTCTCAGGAAAAAAAAAGTCTGAAACTCTGACTTCATAAACACTATTAGGAAATGGAAATGATACCCACTTAGCAGGGCTTTGTTGTTTATTAAATGTAATGAAACATGTCAGGCAGAGCACATGGGAAGCCTCCAGACAGCTCTTACCCTAGAAATGGGCAAAATCACAAAACAGAACTATCCAGACATGTCAAAAAAGAGAAATACAGAAGCAAAAAAAAGATATATAGAAAGATGGAGACATAGAGAAACAGACAGATAAAAGGATGGGGAAGGGACCCAAGGAGCAGGGACCATCCCAGCCAACCAGAGAAACCGTCCTGCTTGAAGCACAGAGGTGTGAAATGACAGTCATAGAGAGATAAGACTGGTCCAGAGAGACGTCGAAGACCCAGAGACAGGAGCAGGGCTGGTATGAGAAACAATAATCCTCACTTTATAATAACACTACTGGAGACTCAGTAGTGAAAGTGAAGCAGTTAATTTTACAATCTTGGTAAGTCGGGTGGCTATAAAAAAAGAAACGGCTGACATGCTGATTTGGCACAAAACAGTGGTATTGTTTCATATTTCTCAAACAGCATTTCCGTGCCCATTGAATTTCTCATTGCTAAGTTCTTCAAAGAGATACAATCTTTTCTGCTTGTCTAGCATAGTCCCCACCCTAAATTCTCCATCCTTCTGGGGCTCCAAAGCCCCTCCCCTTTCCTGACACATGGGCAGACTGTCCTTAACTTTTTAACCCTAAGATAAACTAAACAGCGCCCAGGCAAACAGGCACCAGCTTCTAGCTAGGGAAGACATGGGAATAGTGCCTCCTCATCTGTGATTCATGAGGAGGTCTAAATGCACCTTGTGCTGAAAACAGACAGTGATGATTTATTTCTGTCTACCTGCAACTATATGTTGTGGAATATTATTTTAACCATGTAAAGGTGTGTTACATTTGTTCATGCTGCAGAACACTACTTTAACTGTGTAAAAGTGTATTACATTTGTTTCTGCTGCCTTTGTTGATGATGCAAAGATATATTGCATTTGTTCTTGCTGCATTTGTTTAACTATGTAAAGATGTGTTGCTGTTTCACCTTGCCTGCCTAAGGCACCTGATTGGTCTAATAAAAAACTGAACAACCAATAGCTAGGCAGGTTAGGGGTAGGCAGGGCTGTCAGGCAAAGAGGAGGGAAAATCTAGGCTTGGGAGAGAAGAAAAGAAAGAGGAGAAAGAGAGGGGCATGCCCGGGGCCAGAAGTCAGGCAGCCGCCAGCCAGATATAGAGACAGCAAAGAAGTAAGATATATAGAAGGAAAGGTAAAAAGCCCCAAGGCAAAACACAGATGAGAAGAAACAGATTAAAATAAGAGCTAAGATGAGGCCGAGCATCCGTAACAAGTAAGACGTCTCGTGTCATGATTTAGGAGTCAGTTGCTGGCCCAAAAGAAAAAGCTTGTCCCATGGCCACTGCTTCACACGTCAGAAACACAGTTGTGTTCCAAACAACAGACTTACTCCACATGTTGAACACCGGAAGTCTGACACGGGTCCCATGGGCTAACACTAAGGTATCAACAGGGATGGCTCCTTCCGCAGACTTGGGGGTGGGGGCTGGGGTAGCACTCAGCTCCTCCCCTATCTTCAAACCCAGCTCCAAGTCGCCTGTTCTTTGTCCACCTGCCCCTTTTATTAGAGCCCTGTGGTGACTCTGGATCCATTTAAATCACCAACATGATCCTCATCTTCCCTTCAGCTTTCTGAAAATTGTTTGGTCTTCAAGATCACATTTTACCGGTTCTGGGGTCAGGGCAGGCTGTCTTGGCGGGGGGGGGGGGGGGGGGGGGGGGGGGACATTATTCTACCTACCCAGACATCATGTCTATGTCACCCTGGAGCTGGTGATCCCAGGAGCTAGAAAACTACATATCACCCGGGACACTCACAGAACATGCAGTACCAGGGAAGCCTGGGCTAAGGAGAGGAAGCACTATCCCAAGGCATAGCTTGCCCCATACAAGAGCCATCAAATGCCCTGAGCGGTGGTGATAGGCCAGAGTTGGGGTAGGTGGGAAGGCAGAAGGAGAGGCCTTCTGTAGGAACAGGTGTATCCTCTCCACACTGTAAGGGACTCAAAGAGTGGAAGCATAGTCTGCTGTGGGGCTCAGAAAGCCCACCGGGAGGTGATGGGAACTAGGTAGTCTTTAAAGCGTAACCCCGCCCCCCAGGCCTGAGACCTGGCGGCTTTATCAGACTATAGAGAGGGGGCTGGTAAGACCGTGAGAAGGCTCAGCAGGTGACACAGACTTGGCAGTCTGAGTTCAGTTTCTGGAACCCTCATAAAAGTGGCCACAAAGTTATCCTATGGCCCTACATGCATTCTGGGGTATGCACGTGTGCACATGCCACCCCCAACACATCATCATCATCATCATCATCATCATCATCATCATAATAAATTCTAAAGACTTTTTATGAGTATGGCTGTCTTGCTTGCGTGTCTTTTACCACTTGGACGTAGTACCCATAGAAGCCAGAAGAGGAAGTTGGCTCCCCTGAAACTGGACTTATGGGTGGTTGTGAGCTGCCATGTGGGTGCTGAGACCCAAACCCAGGACTCTACAAGAGCAATAAGTGCTCTCAACAGCTAAGCCATTTCTCCAGCCTCTAAGTAAATAAATAAGACCAGGGAACACAACACACACACACACACACACACACACACACACACACACACACTGTCTCTCACCATGCCATACCTTCAACTACCTCGGGATCTGCCATCAAGACAGCCACCATCAGATCTGGCTGCTCGACCATGACCCCTAGAACTGTGGGCCAGTATCACCCTTCTTCCTTTAAAGCTTGCCCAGCCTGTGGCACATGGCTCAGTGCTATTAACAGTGAGCACAAACTAAAACAGAACCCTGCCCTAAGCCTAGACACTCTCAGCACATCCTCACTCCCTACCTCTGGGGTGCCACACAGAGAAACCCTGTCTTGAAAAACAAAATAAAAAATGTACAGCTTTTCTCTATTTTCCAATTGTCTGAAATGGCCATATACCTGTTAGTTTGTTTTGTTTTTTTAATTTTGTAGGGAAGTACACATGCATGGATGTGTCTTATATACTTCTAGAGGTCAGAGATCAACTTTGAGTCATTCTTCAGAAGCCATCACTTTGTATTTTAAGACAGGGGCTCTCACTGAGACCTGGAGCATGCCAGTTAGGTTAAGCAGTCTGTCCAGGGAGTCTTGGGATTTACTGATCTCTGCCTCTCCAGTACTAAGATTACAAGTGTGCCACAAAACCAGGCTTTTTACATGATGCTGAAGATGAAACATAGATACCCATGATTCATTGGCAAATGCTTTATTGAATGAGCCATCTTTCCAGCCCCCACAGACTGTTTTTATGATTAGAAATTAGGACTTTAATAAGAAATACAAAAGGGTACCAGGTGATGGCTCATGCCTTTAATCCCAGTGCGAGGGGGGCAGAGGCAGGCAGATCTCTGAGTTTGAGGCCATCCTGGTCTACAGAGCAAGTTCCAGGATAGCCAGGGCTGCGTAGAGAGACCATGTTTCAAGGGAAAAAAGAAAAGGAAAAGAAAGGAAGGAAAGAAGGAAGGGAAGGAGGGATGGAGGGAGGGAGGGAAGGGAGGGAGAGGGAGAGAGAGGGAGAGGGAGAGAGAGAGAGAGAGAGAGAGAGAGAGAGAGAGAGAGAGAGAGAGAGAGGAAGTACAAACTGGCTTCCCTGAGGGAGCAGTTCTGATACAGCAAGAGCCCTCTCCAGAGAAGGGTGAAGAAGCGGGCACTTGGAGCAGGCCTAGGAAGTAACCCTGCCTCAAATTAAGCTCTGTCCCCACTAGCTGGGGAGGCTGACTCCTCAACCTGCTTCTCCCGCTGGAAGTTCAGAAAGTGACCAGACTTCAGTCATCAGCAAACTTCAGATTGATTGGGCTTGGCACACAGCAGGTAGTGGAAAGAGGGACTATGATGTCCACTGTTCCTGTTGCCTTCACCCCTGCCAGCCACCCCTGGGATGTGGGAACTGTGCAGGGTGAAGGTGGGAAATGTGTGTGCTAATCAGAGCAGTGAACTAGAGCGCTAGGACCCAAGGCTTTGATGTGGGAAGAAACAGACACAGCACAATCCCTTTATTTCTCACTCATACTCAGAAAGCAGCCAGGCCCCCCAGTGATTCATCCTCCAGAAGCAGTGAGGAGACTCTGTCCATCCCAGGGTCACGCTGACCTGCCCCTAGCCTCCTCTATACACTCTACCCTTCCTTCCCAGGTGCCTGCCAGAGGATCGGGCCATCAAGAGGGCCAGCAATGCCCCTGAGGCTTGCCCCTGAGACTGCGGATCTCTAAGCCAGTGGGCACGTTCTCCAGGACATCACCCAATGAGAACAAGCAAAAAGAGATGTCTTCGTAGGAGGCCCTGGTCCCACTCTCAAACAGACAGGCAAAGGCCAGGGATGCCCCGGGCACAGGCCCAAGGAACGCTAGGTCAGAGTAGCCACTGGGACCCTCATAGATCACCCAGGGCTCTGTCCAGCTGTGGGGGTCCAAGGGGGACCGGCTCAGATAGATTCCCATGTGGAGCCGAGCTCTACGCCCTGATGGGTGGGAATACAGCAGCCACGTGGAACTCTGAAGCAGGGAAGCAGAGGACATAGGGAGTTCTGGGGTCCAGGCTGTCTTCTCTCCACCTGTCCCAGGTTCTAGGCCATGATTTTCTGGACCCCAGGACTGTGGGGAGCAGAATGACCCTCTGCGAGCCCAACCTTCAATAGGACCCCCAGCACCTTGCCCTGAAGACTCCTGTACTCTGAGATAGAAGCATGGGGAATGTGGGGTATTCCCAAGAACCATTGGCCACTGGTCATCCTGAGGCCTGCTGGAGGGTGGAGCTGGGAAGCCCACAATGCTACCCTGGCAGCCACGGGCAGTTTCAGCCAGTGTAGGCACCAGCTCCCCCGGTAGGAAGGAAGTGCCCTCGTCAGCACTCAGGGCCTGCACACGATTGCCCAGAGGGCTCCGGGCATTGCAGTAGAGGAAGTCTCCATCCACTGCAGCCAGTTGGCACTCTCCAGAGCGCAGGTTGGGCACAAGGCCTCCACAGTGCCAGGAGATTCCATGGTCATCACTATAGAAAGCCAAGGAGTGGGGACTGGTCCAGCAGATCCTGCCAAAACACTCCCGACGGTCCACATGATAGGTGTAAGCAGGAACAAGTAGGCGACCTGAGCGTAGCTGAACTCCATGGCCTGGACCCACAGCAAAGGTGGCCCAGTCTAGAGAGAGAGGCAGCCAGAACCTTGGGTTAGTTCAGCTGACTGCCTCCCTATAATGGACCCCGAATGCACCCGGACTGGAGGAGCCTGCCAAGGCTGTCTTCAGAATCCTAGAAGCCTGCTTAGTCAAGTGCTTTCTTAACGGTTTTTAAAAAGACTTATTTTTAATTACGTGCACATGGAGGGTATGCACGTGAGTGCAGGTGCTGAGAGAGGCCAGAGGGGGCAGATACCCTGGAGCTGGAGTTACAGGCGGTTGTGAGCCACCCAATGCAGGTGCAGGGAACTGAACCCCAGTTCTCCTCAAGAGCTGTAAGTCTTAACCTCTGAGTCACCTCTCCAGCCCCTTGGTCATGGGTTTTGCTGTTCGTCGAGGGGTGCAAAGCACAGAAACCAGGCCAAATAAGTGGTCTACCATTGAGCCACTCCCCAGCCATTGGCCAACAGAGGTTTAATGATCTCCAACAGAGCGCTCAACCTCTGGGGCGCCTGCTACAGAGGAGCAGTGGAGGGAGGGGACCTTGGATGAGGTTTTTGGATGAGCCCTGTTTCTTTGTCCACCTCCCAGAAGCCGCCACATCCCTCCATGTAGCACTCATGGGCCGGGTCCTGTAGCCCCTAGGGCCACTGCCTATCAGCAGGGGTCAGGGTGTCGAGAGAGCAGTAGATCGGTAGGTCAGCCCCTGTGGAGTGGGGACTGCAGAGGTAAGAGGGAAAAAAAGAGTGGGGCCCAGAGACCTGGGCCGGAGGAGGAGGAGGAGGAGGAGGAGGAGGAGGAGGAGGAGGAGGAGGAGGCAAAAAGGGAAAGGAAGTGATAAGAGCGCGCGGGTTTGGGAACAAGAGACTTAACCCTCTTCTCTACGGACCAAGACAAGGACAGCCCCTGGTGGGCTTAAGTCGCCAGCCCTGCCAGCACCTATGGGCCTGGCACTGAAGGTGTTTGGGAAATGCCAGACAGTCCTGAAGACAGTGTTAGGAAGTCACTGCTTGTGGATGATGTGGGGCAAGAAGCTGGGGATAGGAGAGGCGGAATGAAGATTTCCAAGCGGTTGCTGGACCTATGGGAGGGACGAGCCCAATCCCTCTTGCCCTGTCCTGTCCCTACCGACTCTATTCCTCCACCCCACACCACCAGCCCATCCCACACCAGGCAGGCGTCACCTACCCTGCAATGCTGTACCAATGGCCTCCTCCGTCAGGTCTCGCACACTGCCCCAGGTAAGGCCCGCGTCACAGCTGGTCACACAACAGAGCCGAGCAGCGTTCTTGCCAGTGGCGATCTGCACGGCCTCGGGCGTGTGGCCCAGCACCGCAATGAAGAAGAGGAAGATGGTACCGGAGTGTTCGTCCAGCACCGGGCAAGGGTTCATAGACCTGTGCTCCTCCAGCACCGCAGTCTCCAGCACACTCAGGGTGCCCCACTGAGGGAAAAGAGGCAGCTGGTCAAGACATCCAGAGCCTGACCTCAGTCTCCGGGGGTATCAGCAGAGTTGCCCTTGAGTTTCCACTCTGCGCCTAGCACTCACCCGCACTGAGCCCCGAGCCAGTGTGCCCCTCCGCAGCACCAGGCGGTGGGCATGGGAGTCATCAGGGCTAAGTCGCTGTTCCGCAAAGGCCAGCAGGGTAGGCCGGGGAGGCACACACAGCAGCGCAGGCACACGGTAGGTCAGGCCTGTCCGCTCCTGCTGGAAGAGCACGGTCCTTCTGGGAACACGCGGGGCCCCCATGCCCTTCAGGTAGGAGCAGGGCACCTGAAGTCTGTTGGGGAGGAAGCGCCACAAGTTTACATGGCCAAAAGCCAACCCCACACCCACCTGCCCATCTCGATGACACTTTCCATCTCCCTCACCTCAGTTGTCTCACAACCCATCAGCAGGCCCCTCACAGGCACTGTACCCTAAAGCTCTGTAGAACTTGCCCCTCTGTCCTCTCCAAGCTGCTCCTTTGCCAGGCTAGCCGGTGCTGGGGAGCTGGGCAGAGAGACCCCACATCCTGCCAGCTGGTGTCTCTTGGATGCATATCACCACAGAACTCACCCAATAAGAGTACAGGCTAGTGGACAAAATCAGACAAAAAAGGTGGGGGGGCTCATTGTCCACAAATATGGTGTGTGAGACCAGAGAAGGCACACCACACAGCAGAGGAACACTGGAACCTACCCACACGGAAGCAGAAGGCAGGTCCAGAAGTCTCCACAGAAAATAGCTTCAGACACAGGGAATGCACCCAGTGGACCCCTGGGCTGCCCCGTGGTTTGGAGAAGAACAGCAAAGCTGTCTTCACCTGCAGCGTATGTACCAAGTGGCTCTCATATGCACCAGAGAGAGCCAGGCTCAGGGCTGATCAAAGGCAGCAAAGGGACAACCAAGAGCCCGGAGAGGTCCTGGCTTGATTAAATTGGTTCCTCCCTGTCAGAGCAGGGTCAATGTGAGGCTGAGAAGTGGGGGAGCAGGTGGACAGCATTTCAGGGCCAGGAGGATGTACGGAACAAGGACAGACAAAGGCCTCTCCTCGTGGTCATCCACTGTCCTGTCTCCCACTCGATACTCTGCCCCTGCGATCACTTCTTAACCTCACCCATAAGCCAAGGATCAGGCAGCTTACAGTCTCTGTGTGATCAGCGCTGCCTATGAATAGCTTACCCCTTCTTGTCTGGGCCTCCACCCCTGCAGCCTCATCTGTGGGGCCCTGGACTGAGGGACAGCTGGGAGAAACACTTCCATGGAACCGAAGCCACAGGAGAGTGGCCAGGTAGTCCCAGAGCATGTTTCTTCCCACTTGGCCTCTCAAAGAAAGACCAAATGAGGGATAGGTTGAGGGCATGAGCTGGGCCTGCCAGGGACCACTCACTATCCAAACCGCACAATGGCAGACCAGAAGGTAAGTGTATATAGCTGATGTGGGGGTCGATGGGAAGGCAGGGCCGGGGGTGCATTACCATGTTCTGCAGGACATGAACAGTCAGAGCCCCAAACCGTCTAGGCCAGACCACCACCACCAGCCAAACAGCTCACAGCCAGGCACCGTAGTCCAGACTAGAGCCAGACACACACACACAGCCCACACCAGCCACTCCTGACCAGCCTACCATAAGCCATACAGAAGTAACTAACACAGAGCACTGAGGGGAAGTAAAGAGAGCAGAATGCTAGCAAGGCCCCTGGACGAAGCTCAAGCCTCAGTAGGGACCTAGCATGACTTCACAGGATAGAGAAGTAGAGGACCGTCACTCACGTAAAGCAATAGCAGGTTCCACAGACCACGGAGGGCTGTGCTGACCACCACGAGCTCCACGCCTTAGGTCCTCTGAGTCTACCAAGCACAGTCCAGGCCACAAGCTCCGTGATGCGCGCTGTTCTGCTCCCCCACTACTAACTCTGGGGCTACTGAGCAGCTTCCCGTCTCCTGGAAGCCCCCCAGCTCTGCACTCAAAGGGCGATTGTGCCCAAGTAGAAGCAGGTGCAAGGAGCCACGTGTCCCTTCAGGCTGAACAGGCACAAGAGAGACATTTTCTCTATATTTGGATGGCTTCCCAAAGCCTAGGACCACAGGAACTGTGAATACAGCCTGCAGAAGCTGGGAGCCTGGGCCCATTCCTCAGCCTGGAAACACGACAGGACCCAGAGAGGCTCCAAAGACCATCAGGTCACTCCCGTTGTACCTAAGGGAAACTGAGGCTTACAAAGGGGACAAGGCCATCATCCGTTAGAGGCACCCTTTCGTGAGCCAGCTCTGGGTTTCCATGGAGCCTCACAGTCCCAGGGACACCTCAGTTGAAAAGCAGAAGCCAGACCTCCCCCATACCAGCTGCCCATGTGGCCCATTCAGTAAGTTCCAGGGATTGTCCAGGAAAGCTGTGTTTCAGCACAGACGCGTGCCATCCCAAACAAAGTCTTTCTCGGGTGAAGAATCACAGACAGGAAATTGAAGCCCTCAGCTCTGGCTGAGATGGCTGCAGACTTCCTGTTATAATTTGACCTGGGCAACAAGCTGCTACCCCAGAGCACCAAAGCCAGCCCACATCTTTGCCTCATGCCTTCACAGGCCACCCCAAGTTTCAACTTGTGGCTTGATACCAGGAAAATCAGAGTCCCTTTTTAGGATATTTAATCTTAGTTTTTTTTAATTATTACTTTTTTTGTTTCACTTTGATTTGGTTATGTGTATCTATAAATAACTTAGGTCTTTTACACAGGGATGGTGGCACACACCTGTTGTCCCATGGAAGATGGAGCCAAGAGATGTGGCAATATTTCTAATCTCAGAAATAAAGCTTGCCTAACTATCAGAGCACAGAGCTAGCCACAGATTTAGCCACAGAGGTCAGGCAGTGGTAGCACACACCTTTAATCCTAGCACTCAGGAGGCAGAGATCTGTCTGGATATCAGCAAGATCAAGGTCACCCTAGACTACAAGAGATTAATCCAGTCTAAGAGAAGCAGAGCCCGGCAGTGGTGACACACACGTTTAATCCCAGCACTTGAGATTTCATGCCTTTGTTATCAGTATTTGGCAAACACACACACCTTTAATCCCAGCACTAGGAAAGTTGAGATAGGAAGTGAAATGGCTGGGTGAAGAAAGGCATATAAGGCATGAGGACTTTTGGCTTTTTGGCTGAGGACTCAGGAGCATTCAGTCTGAGGGTTCGTGAAGACAAGATGGGCTGAGGTGTTGGCGAGGTGAGAAGTGGCTGTGGCTTGTTCCTTTGTCTCTCTGATCTTTCAACATCTACTCCAATATCTAGCTCCATTCCAATATCTGGCTCTGGGTTTTTACTATAAGACCATTTAGGATTCCAGCAACAGAGAGGATTTCCTGAGCCTAGGAGTTCAGAGCCAGCCTAGGAAACATAGAAAGACATCCATCCCCAAAAGAGGATGGCAAAAAGAATCAATGTAACTGGTAAATGCCAAGATGGACAATTAGAAACCACCAGAAAACAGAAATTTTCTCTCAAATGCTAAAAAAAATTTTCTTAGAGCTTCCCTCTAAGTCCATTATTAAATTCTTTTATGAAATTCTATTTCAATTTAATTAATAATTTAAGAGTTTTGTAAATTCTTTTAATGAAATTAAATTAAACTAATTAATTTAATTTAAAATGATTTCATAAATTCTTTTAATGAAACTAAGAGTTCAACAAAGACATCCCAGTTTTCCCAGTAACATGACAATCATGAAGATACCTTAAGGATGCTCCTTGTGATGTACTTACACTAGTAAACGGTGATTGGCTGTTTGAGCTCACTGAGAAACTGGCTCTAGAAGCAGGTCCACCCCTCATTTCAGGAAAGAAAACAACACAACAGGCTAAGAACAAAAACATCATTGAAAATAGCTGGAAGGTCAATTATTCCCAACTGCGGCGGTTTGAAATAAAATGACTCCCAAAGGGAGCGGCGCTATTAGGAGGCGTGGCCTTGTGGAGTGGGTGTGGTCTTGTTGGAGGAAGTGTGTCACTGTGGAGGCGGGCTTTGAGCTCTCCTATATGCTCAAGATACCGCCCAGTATTTGAGCTCACTTCCTGTTGCCTTTGGATCAAGATGTAGAATTCTCCAGCACCATGTCTGCCTGTATGCTCTCATACTCCCAGCCACCATGCTCCCCGCCATGATAATAATGGACTAAACCTCTGAAACTGTAAGCCACCACCTCAATTGTTTTCCTTCTTAAGAGTTGCCATAGTCATGGCGTCTCCTCACAGCAATAAAAACCCTAACCAACAGAGGTTACTAACTTTTTAAGATTTATTTTTAATTATGTATATGTGTATGTTTGTATATGGGTATATGCACATGAGTGACAATACATATATAATCATACATAAATATAGATTTTTAAACTATATATTTATATATTTCATTTATATTTATAATTTGTAAGGTTTTTAAAGATTTATTTCTATTTTTTTTTTTTTATGTGTGGATGCCAGTGGCCATGTCAGAGGAGTAGCAGGTGGAAATTGAAGTTCAAAGCTGACTCAGATTCCTTTCATCTTAATGCTGAAAGATGAGGTCACGGGTTTCGGTGTGCATCATTAGCTGAAACAAAGCCTTATAGTAAGGAATTTGTGTAGGGAGTTAATCGTTTGTCTGTGTTATCAGCCAGACTTGGCAAGAGAGACTGGCATAGTAATTTAGGTTGCTTTGTGCCTAATAACCTTGGTTCAACAAATCGGATATCTGGTCACTCTGTCCTTGTGCATTATCTGTGAAGGCTGAACTTATAATCCATTTGTAGAGGCATTTGGTCTAGTCTGAGTTTGCTCTAAGGTTTTAAATCAGCTTATTGTATGTAATTGTCTTGTCAGCCTGAGCTAAGGACATAAAACAGATTTCTAAGTTTCTCACAGTTTCCATGAAACAAAAGTCTGGCTATGGGGCTGGAGACATGGCTCAGCGGTTAAGAGCACTGCTTGCTCTTCCAAAGGTCCTGAGTTCAATTCCCAGCAACCACATGGTGGCTCACAACCATCTGTAATGAGATCTGGTGCCCTCTTCTGACCTGCAGAAATATGTACAGATAGAACACTGTGTACATGATAAATAAATAAACCTTTAAAAAAAAAAAAAAAAAAAAAAAAAAAAAAAAAAAAAAGTCTGGCTATGAAAGTATATTTTATTTACCAAAATTACACAGTGTAAGAAGGAATCATTTTCTGTTATCCACAGGAATAAATGTGCCTGACAAGTAGAGAACACACTACCAATAAGCTGTGGGAAGAAGTTCATAGCTGTTTTAAGGGAGAATTGTGGTAGCACACAAGAAAATTACAGACAGAAGCAGACAGCATTCACAGTCTGTGGGCCCTGTAAGCCTTGCTTGATGAGGTTCCTCTATCAGAGAATTATTCATCTGGTTGGTTGACCTTATGAATATCAGTTGTCATCTGCTGCATATTCTGATGGCCTCTGGCAAAAGGAACTCAAGGTAACACTCAGGCAATGTGTAGCAGGGCTGATCAGTCGAGCAGCAGTCAGGCGAATTCATCAACGATGCTTCAAGATGGATCCTGGCAAGAATCCCCAGAAATGTTATCAGCATGGGAACCAAGACATAGCTATATGTTATCATCTTTAGCAACCTGAGGAGTTCTCCTATGCTTTTAGGGACCTCAACACAGAGGCCAAACTGGAACTCGGGCTTTCACACTGACAGAAATTTTAGGACTAACTGGTATAATGAAGATATTTTTAGCACAGACTTAAGCACCAGGGTTTAGAGAAAGAGAACCACTCAAGAAGAGTGAGTACAGCTTTCAAAACTAAAGCAGCTTTACAAATGGGAAAAATTTTATACTTTATTTTTACTTTGTGTACATTGGTGTTTTGCCTGCACGCATATCTGAGAGGCTGCCGGATCCCCTGGAACTGGATTTGCAAACAGTTGTGAGCTGCCATGTGGGTGCTGGGAATTAAACCTGGGTTCTCTGGAAGAGCAGACAGTGCCCTTAATTGCTAAGCCATCTCTCCAGCCCAGGAATTTTTGATATAGCACAAAATACTTTTTCTTTAGCATTTATATTTAAAACAAACTGTAATAACTTTTATATAGAGAATTTATTTCCTAAAGATTAAGAGCTAAGAAGCAAAGTTAAAGAAAAGAGAGGAGGAAATGTGATCAGAAGTTATCTTTAGTTCTGACATAGCCTCTAGATACTTTCTAATAGTTTATTAATTTTTATTTCTTTTTAATGTCTCCTAAGTTAGATGTAGTTTTTAAAGCTCCTATTAACTCTTGTAAATTAACAGTTTTATCATTTGGGAGGTTTTCTTTTTTTCCACCAAAACAAAAGTCTAGTTTATTGAAGCTGGAGAGCTAGAACAGGGGTTAAATCCACTTACTGCTCTTGCAGAGGACCCAGTTCAGTTCCCAGCACCCATATGTCAGTTCATAGCCATCTATAACTCCATGCCTAGGCCATTCAGTACCCTCTTCTAGCCTCTTTGGGCACCAAGCACCCACATAGTAGTACACACAAACACACGCTCGCACGTGCGTACGTGCACACATATGCGTACGCGCACGCACACACACACACACAGGCAAAATACTCATACACATAAATAAAAATAAACAAATATTTTTAAAAGAAAGAATATTTTTAGTTTATTATTTGAGATTGTCTCACATATACATCAGACTAAAAATTAAATACAGTAACAATATACATAAAATTAAGCTTTCATGTTTGTCTTTTTCAC